CATACCTGATTATTACAGCTTGTTACGCAAAAGTTAACAGAGAATGTTCCAAGCCTTCAATCCTATGACAGGCATCGATGCTGCTTAGCTAAATAGCCATTCCATTGGCTACGTCCACAATTTTCTCTGGAGGATGAGAAACACAGAAGGCTTCAATCAAATTTCTCCCCGTCTCACTCCAGTAGCCACCCATTCCAAAAGCATTTCAAGCTTTCAGAGAGCGCTTACAACATTAGCCCATTGTTTTAGAGTACACAGCACAAACAGCACCGAAGTTATTAATTAGCATCAATTTGGGGAAAACGCAGCGATGCGCACACAAGCTGCCTCTGGGATTAGATTTGAACTCATTTTAGGTGAGGAGACAATGATCTAAAAGCTTAGTTTTAGACAAGTTAACTCTCCTTACTGAGAAGACCCTGGATGGGAATAACATCAGCCCAAAGTACGGCACAGTAAGCACAAAGAAATCACACTAACTTTTGGCAATCACAAATGAGTACGGAAGGGGCGACTCAAATTTGCTCCTGTAAGACCCTTGCAATTTGTAGCGGTTTTGTTTTCAAACCAGCATCTACATACATGACAGTATCAGAAAGAGCGAATAGCTGTTACAGGCAGAACTGCACCAGCAATAAAATTTAACCAACAAAAGGGTTAATTAGGGATACAAATTTTCGCAGACTGTTAATAATGGGAAGAACACATAGTACGGGCCCATAAGTAATTCTCAGGTATCTTTGATCTCCAGCCCCAAGCGATCGCCGGTGCCTACCATAGCCCGGCCTCTGGGACACTCTCAGAACCAGACATCTGGCTACTTTGTTGTTTTAGACTAATCTCATCCCTGGGGAGCTCAAGAAACGACACCAGGCAAGGAGGGTCCTGGCAAGGGAAAAGACATTACAGTATCAGCAGATTTCTAAGCAGATCCGAGTATCAGAACAGTCCTCAAATTTCTACAGGGAACCTCTCTCCTCTGCGCTCTCCAGCTCAGCTCTCGTGCAACACACATGATCCCTTTTTAAGGAACTGCTAATCTCTTTAAGGAAGGTAATGAATGATAATCCTGGAGAGAATACGCCACAAAGGCAAACCTAAGTACTAAACCGCAAGGAAAGGGGGGATTTAATAAAGATTTTATTGACAGGTCAACACACCGCATAATCAAATCACATTTCCAAAGCCCCACAAAAATAACTCCAGCGCCCAAACACCCTTCGTGACAAATTCACCATCAAAGATTCGAGCTGCCAGTAACGTTATCATTCAAGTACGACCCTGCAATAACAGCAGCAGTCTCCACGCCTGACTGGCTGTTCCGGGCTCAGGAAAAGTATGGCTCTCGGAGAGCAAAGCCCGCAGGACTAACGTCACCTGCTGACATGAAGGAATAAAGGTTTCACTTTAAGTCTAGAGACACTATTCCTATCATCAGAGACTAACGGGGATCCTTCTGTCAGGTCTCATTCTCCACAAAACACAGGTGCCATTAGACGTGACACTCAGAGCAGCTGGACAAGAACTGCCGTAGGCACCATGCCGAGCCCTCCACACTAACGCCCTGGGAACACCCAGGGCACGCTGACGGCTCGCGTCTGGCAAGAGAAGGAACCAAGGCGCTTAGAGCCAGCTGAAAGAATACCCTCCCACACCTTCTCCTAAGGCAGAAACGCTACGAACATCACTCCCGCTACATACTTCCAAAAGGTGCCATTTTTTCAACACAGGGGTGGCGCATCATGGTAATAAGCAAGAGATGACTTCCTCGTCAGCATCTCCCGCTTCAGAAGCACCACTCTTACCTTTTCTTTCATTCTATTGGCAAGCACAAGTTTAAAGGAAGGGATGCCAGACGCAGACCGTAATCTCCTCCTAAGAACAGGTCTGTGTGAAATAACTTTGCCTCGTTTCAGGGTTTTTTCAAAGCATTCAGAACTGAGCTTTGCAGAAAACTCCAAATAATCTGTCGTACTGCATCAGCTTTCAAAGCAGAGAAACTGTTGTCCAAGCCTCAACTGAGTGCTACGTACAGAAGTAGCTTTAAAAACGTGTGCTAAGCTTGACTAGGGCTGACGTTCTAATAGAGCAGCCTCCCTTTCCTTTCTTCTCATGTTCTCAGAACGCAGACACCCACTTCCCTTCAGCCCCAACATCCCCCTCCACAGGAAAACAATACTAAAAAGTCACCGTAATACAATTTCGGTTTCTTAATGCACTCCAACATTTGGATCAGAGATAAAACCTGAGCTTCACTAGCTGTAGTTACACGGCGTCAACAGCTAGAAACCAAACCGAAAAAGCCACCAAACACCTGAACAGGGATATCTACTTCCGTATTTCATTTTTTTTTCTGAAATACTGCCAAAGCAAATCCCTTATCGCTTCCTGTCATCCAACAACCATGCCATTGAAGCGAACCCAGGTTAGCCCAAGCAATTACATTTTCAGAAAGGAGCAGCCGCAAGACACCTGCTTTGCATTCCCCATACGTGTAAGACTTGCTCAAGAAAGGCATCTCCTTAGAACTCGGCTCAGTCAGCCTGCCCCAGTGTAATCGATAACTTCCACCACTCCTGTAGCTCACAGGTAGCTGCGCAGCTCTACACAATGGACGCAAGGTAGAAATCGTCATAAAACAACCCCTGCTACCACACTCATGATTTATCCTGCATTCAGTAGTACATTACCTACTGCTGAAAAATTGGGAGTATAGTATAATGAGAAAAGCCTCGAGGTAAGAACTGGTTAAACTTACACGTTTAAAATGTAGCACGAGACCATGTCAACAGGAAAATCAAGAAGTAAACGCTACGTGGAAAGTTAGCACTTCATCCTTTGTAATTGTTGACCCACCTGCTGCATTCATGTGCCACAAAGCCCTTAAAGATGTGCCCCACACGCTTACCTTCACCAACACCTTTTATCAAACAACAATCTGCACATGCATACCATCTGCTTCACAGAGCAGATAGACAGTCAGTAACACAAAAGAGCCCCTTGCTAATCCTATATATTGAACACAGAACAATACAGAGAACGGAGGTACAGCTTCTCAAAATTATGTCTCAGTGTCTAAAAACAAGCACATTTTTACAGGATCATCTTAAGTACTACAGCTAGAACTCCACATGCCTTTTTCTGGCTTGCTTTTGAAGCTACGCACCAACAGCACAACGCTAACAGCAAATTACAAACCGCCTCAGACAGTCAACACTCTCAGCTTTTATTTACGCTTCACAGGTAACCAAACACCGGGAACTAATGCTGCCTCCCACTATCTATTAGGGAAGCACAGTCAACCACTAGTAAATAGAACTCCCCAGAGCTTTTCCCAAAAAAGTCAGCATTTGGAACAAATGAACACCGTGGGATGATGGAAATGCCAAGTCATCCATACAACAGCAAATCAAACAAAAAAGACGACTCCAGAAAGAAAGAAAAAAAAAGCTTGAACCAAAACCCATTTCCACACTTTTTCTAAGACAGAACTGGTGAGAAATATCTTCCTCCTCTCAAATGTTGCAGCCAAACAGAGAGAGGAGAAAGCAATCTGAACATTAACAAGACCTTGAAAACATTACCAACTGCAACAGACCAGCCAGTTTGCGTAAAAACAGAGAACAAACAGTATTTTAATGAGCTTACCACTCTAGAACCTATTACACTACAAAACCAAATACCAATTTCCAAACAGGCGTCCTGCTTTCAACATACACATGAAAGAACACACATTTTACTGCAACAACCTGTCAGACTATCTTAATTAGAACTTTTTACCTTCTTTGCTCTACAGTTCACTTCTCATCATGCAGATGCTGCATCACGTTTCTTGACTTAAGCGTTTTTTTCCAGTATCCCCTATAAACAGATAGGAGTAACTTCACATCCAAAAAACACAAATCTCAGTGGGGACTTCAACCACCACAACGCCCATTGAAGGGATAACACAGCAAGATACTAGCACTCGTTGAGAATACTGGAACAAGCTGACACTTTCTTCCTTAACTGCGTACAAGAAGAGACCACGTAAAAAGGTAAAAAAAGTACTATACAGGACCTCACCTTCACCAATCAGAAGAAGCAGGTGAGTAGCAAAACACTCAAAGACAGCCTTACCTACAGAGACCACAAACAGGCAAAGTTGAAGATCCTAAAAATCTCATAGAGCATGCCAAGCAAGCTTGGTACACTGGACTTCAAGAAAACACATCACCAACTACTGTGGAAAGCCCAAGAGAACCTAGAAAAAGATAATTATGGACCATCTTCTCCAAGTCCAGAAGCAGTACACACTAAAGAAAAAGGAAACAACAGAAACAACAGAAACAACAGAAACAACAGAAACAACAGA